TCATGTAGAGCTGTTGAGGCATTGACCGGTGATATACAACTGAAGATTGGGGGACGAACGGACCGTGTCCATTGGAGTTACAGCGACATCGTGTTTTATGGCGAGGGATGCGTTGCCATGGTAACGCCACATTATGTAACAACAGATTTGACGTAGAGCTGTTCAAGGCCGCAGTGTTAACCATCATGTGAAGTTTGGTGGCGTTCTGAGCATGTCAGTTGGTGTTATGACATCATCGCATTCCATGGTGAGGGATCGCCTAGCATCGAGCGAACGCGAACTTTGGCACCAAATCACGGCTATGCCGTGCGAAAGAAAAAAAGTTCTGTGATATCGTTTTGTCGTCCATGTCTCGACGAATTTGGAGTCGTACGGATAAAGTCCCTAGGAGGAGTTTGTTAAAGTACGGAGGACGCCAAATTAAAAAAGGCCAACTTCCTGAACGTTTTGTGTATACCCCTCCAAGTATGTTCGTCTCCGCACCCTATATATACGTAGCGAGTTTCGTTCGTTTACATGAAAGTTAAAGTGGGGGGAGTTTCCGTCAAAAACGGAAGTGGGCGTGGCTTGCGCAATTTTTTGCGTAAAGTTCCGGAACCAATTACACATCGCAATTTTCACCACTTCTGACGCACGTGCAACATTTGGTGAGTTTTCACATATGTTGCGGGGATCCAAAGTGCGCGCAATGTTTTAAAGTAATAATAATAAATAATCCTTCCAATATCAATAATGTGCGTTTTGTGTGTGTTTCGCAGAATAAGTCACAAAATGGGAAAACTGGAAATCTAACTGAGCATTAAATAACATAAATATTACAGATGTTAAAAAAATTACTTTTCTATCTCATCTTAAACGTTTGTTGCTGTTTTAATCAACCTATACAATATATAATTTATAGAAATGTTTTCTATAAATAAATAAAATAGATTTTGCAAAAATAACGATATTAAATAACATTTACAAAAGTTTATTAAAGGGGACCTATCATGCAAAATGCACTTTTGTATGTCTTTTCTACATAACTATGTGTCCCGGTGTGTCAGGGAACTCACGCAGCGTCAGAAAATAAAACCCTCTCTCTTTTCCTCCGTACGCAAATCTCTGAAAACGGGGCTTCAACGAGCTGATCCAGATTTGCCATCCGATATGAAGATATTTATGTCATATCGGATGGCACCCACGGGCCTATCAGAAAGTTGCTATCAGAATCAATGCCCGACGTGTTTTGGATGTAATATGGCCTTTGTTTACATTAGCATCGCTAACACTCAGAGCTAACCTGTACTGGAGAGCATGTGTGTGAAGAAGCAGGAAATAAAAAGGAACTCACCTTGTGGTATAACCGGCAAGAGAGAAAGCCTTTGAGCTCCATACTGTTTCAGAAATAATCCTTGATGTGGTTTTGGCGTTTCATCACCGCAGCATTTATTTTAGACAGTATCTGCCGGGTCCAGCATTACATTACATTACATTTAACTTGTTAGATGATTTTATCCAAAGCGACTTACATACATTCAGTACTGTGGGCAATCCCCACAGGAGCAATTTGGGGTGAAGTGTCTCAGGGTAGAGATGGGCGAGTCCTGATTCATCCGGACCATTAACCCGGATCCTAGAAATGAGCTGGTCGTGACGAGTCTCCCCTCTCCATTAACCCGAGTCCTTTGAGTCCCACACTTGGTGTGACGTACAAATTAAAACTATAAATTGCGTCACTCGCTACTCTCTTTATAACATGTAAAATCACATTACAACGTACCCCAGTCCATCTGCCCTTTAGCAAGTAGGATAGCTGCCAGAAGTGATCGTTTGGCTCAGGGGAGGGGACGCGGATCAGTGAAACTTCCTGCAGACTCGTGGGGACTCAGAGGAGCCGACGGCTCCTAACCGTAAAGGCCCTGACACACCAGGCAGTCACCAGAGAACTCGCCGACACCCGACACCGACAGTTCCATCGACGAGTTCTCCTGCGTATTGGCCGTGTGTCGCACTGGAACACACCGCAAAGACTTCAGCCGAGCACGTACGAACTGCGCATGCGTGAGTGACAATAACTCTCCTTACCAGCAGGCGGCGGTAGTGTGTATTCGTCATTCAAAATAGGCAACAACCGGAAGACAGAGAAGAAGAACAGACTGATATAAACAAACAAATAGCATGTGCGTTCCATTTTCACTCTCGTCCATCGAAAACATGTTTTAGAATATAAAAATACATGAATGATGAAATGAGCACATAAAGTGCAGACATACTATAAAATCACAGTTAATAGACCTGCATCTGATGATCGCAGTGTTCTGGCGGGTGTGTCGTTTATTGAGTCAGCAATGTAGTAATGGCCACTTCTTGCTAAATTTACGATGAGATGAAAAACCGGACTTGACCAAACAAATCACGGAGCTCTCAGCAGAGGACAGCCGGGGACGCTCCCGCCGATATCAGAGATGTCCCTGCTATGTGTGGGAGGTAAGAGAGGACATTTAAGGGCTATGTTTGATGTCTTTAAGTATCACCTGCTGGTGTTTAGCTGCTGTCTTGTGCCTTAAAATCGTTTGTTTACGTCCCTCACTTCCGTTTCGCTTCTCATTTGCTAGCTGAACAGCTGATCAGAGTGGTTTCTTGGCCCGATAGCTTGTGTCCGACACCCGGCCGATTCAACATGTTGAATCGGCCGGGTGTCGGCCGTGAAAGGCCAAATAAGGCGTGTCACGGCCGAGGGTTCGGGACACACCAAAATTGACTTTGGGCGACAAGGAACCCGTTTTCGCCCAACAACGCAAGACGGCCGATATCGGCCTGGTGTGTAGGGGCCTTAATAGCATAGCAGATCCAGAGATCCATACTCGTCATGTGCACGAGCATAGCCCCTCCTCCAGCACCCGGCTCCCGCGGCTATATTATGCACGAGTCAACAGCAGACTCGCAGATTCGCAGATTCGCAAATCCTGACTCACTGTGCAAAACATAGCAGACTCGTGCAGACTCAGAGCCGTAACCGTATAGCAGCAGATCCAGAGATCCAGCAGACTCGTCATCATGCACGATTCAACAGCAGACTCAGATTCGCTAAATCGCAAAATGACCTTTTTTTTGTGATCAATATGTTTTATTAAAGCAAAAGACACCACTTTACACACATTTAACACATACAAACACCAGTATTGCAATGATTACGCAGTCCATGAGAAAATATGGGGGGCATATGATTAGATATAATTATATGTTTAATAATAATAATTTTATATATTCTAACTGTTTTGCAATTTTCTATCATTTGTCATTGTTTGTTTCTTTTTGTGTGCTATGTTCAAAATAAACGTTTTGCCAAGTAAGATCCTTATTGGAAATGCAGCTATTACACGCTGGAGACTGTTGCACAACATGACAATTTTGTTAGAAGTCTACACTGAAACTTCATTTAGAGCCGGAAACATAATGGACTTAATCAAAATCGCGGGATCCGTGAATCCAGGTCAATGATCGAGAGAGACCAGTAGCCTACGAGTTAGTCAGCGGAACTTCACAGACTCAGATTCGCAAATCCTGACTCACTGTGCAAAACACAGCAGACTCGTGCGGACTCAGAGCCGTAACCATATAGCAGCAGATCCAGAGATCCAGCAGACTCGTCCTCATGCACGAGTCAACAGCAGACTCAGATTTGCCAAATCGCAAAATAACCCTTTTTTTTGTGATCAACATTTTTTATTAAAGCAAAATACACTGTGTAGCGGAGGTTAATATAACGTCAGTTTAATATGCTCGTGAAATGCAACAACTTTTCGGTTTCACCGATAGGATTTCTACGGTCTTGGTGATGCTGACTCATATGACTCAAATGACTCGTATGATCCGGATCTCTTCAATGACTGACTCAGAAGACCCTGAGTCCGTAAAAGGATCCGGATTTGCCATCTCTATCTCAGGGACACAACGACATGCTAACTGCAGTGGGACTCGAACTTGCTACTCCCCGATTGGAAGTTCAGCGCACTATCCACCGAGCCACAGCCTCCCACAGCCGCATGAACAGGCATAAGCTCCGCCCCTTTAAAAAAAAAAAAAGAAGCGCTATATACCCCGAATCAGCACTTTAGAAACAGGAAGTGAAATAGAGGGATATGAGGCATGGCTAGAATGGGTGATCTGTTTGGTACCTTTAAAACAATTACATATTTTCTGTTTTATCCTAAACGTTTTGTTTGTGTCAAAAAATATGAAGCAATATAAAATATATTAAAGTTTGGTTTCTGTAATACAATATAAATTAATTTATTAATCAATCATTGTATTTTATCAAATATATTTTATAGAAATTGTTTTGATACAAATAGATTTTATAACAATTATAATATGTTTAAATATATGTTTGTACTTGAATTCTTTTTGTCAGATTTCATTTAAAATATAAACCAAATTACATTTATATTATTTTATAGCTTGTAAAAACTCACTCTTCATAAATATCATTTGTCTTTTTGTAATATCTAACCAATTAAAATTCTAAATGTGAAATAAATGTTTTTTCGTTTATTATAATCAGCAGTATTTATTAACCCCTTTGTTTCCGTCTCTCTTTCAGGAGCCTGTTTTCCAGGAAAGCCAAAGAGCCCAAGGCGGCGAGATACTTTCTCGTGTGCTCGAGACACTAACCCGTTATCCCGACTTTTTTTTTCCTTGTCCCTTTGGTTTAGGGGCTCCGTATATTTATTTAATTTATTTATTTTATTTATTTTATTTATTTTATTTATTTTATTTTATTTATTTTATTTATTTTATTTATTTTATTTATTTTATTTATTTTATTTTATTTATTTTATTTAAATATATCTATTTGTATTTATTATATCTCGTGGTCATTTCTTCTCGTCCCCTGATGTTCACACTCCGCACAGTAGGTGGCGGTAACGCACCTTAAACGTTGAGTGCCGCCCGCCATTAAACCAGAAGAAGAAGAGGAGGAGAAGAAGGGTGACGTCATTGTTGGGGTATTTTTCCAAGATGGCGGTGGACTGTGGCTGGAATTCTGCAGCTAAAACTATCGGAGGATTTAAATAAAGAGGGATAACAAAATATAACTATTGTTATCTTTCAAAGACACGTTAACACAGTGATTGTCAGGTAACGGGGCTGAAATGGTAGCCCAAGAAGAAGCTATGTTTTGGATTTATCTTAAATCTTCCTAATGCATCTTTTTCAGGGTGAATTCGGTGAAAAATAATTAAGGATTTTAGTGATTTTTGTAGTCATTATTTGGGACAAACCGGGCTTATTTGGAGGTAATGTTGTTAAAATGGTAGCCTCTTCCTCCGGGAACAAGAAAACCTGCTGCTTTTGTTGCGGATCCACCGGACGGGAGGGGGTCTCTGCGGGATTTTACACCCAGGTTTGAGGCTCTTTATTCGGACTGAGTGGTCATGGAAACACCGGTGGAGAACGGAGGTGTCGATCTAAACGAAAACGGAGGGGGATACATTGGAGGTCAGGAAACCGGGAAGGGTCATATTTTGTACGTGACCGGTAACGGGAGGCATGTAAACGGGGAGAAACCGGACACACAGAACCGGGAGATCATGTTGGATCTGGAGTATCTTCCCCCGAACAGAGGTGTGGTTTCTGGGGTCCTGAACGGATTCACGGAGTCACTGGAGGAGCCGAGGACCGGTGAAGGAGAGGAAGGAGAGGAGGGCCAGGCTTCCTGTCTGGGGGAGAACCGGGACGAAACCCCGGGAGAAGACGCGCATGACATCAGAAATCAGCCTCAATACACCGGGAAACACCTCGTCCAGGACAGCGGTTCTTCTACCGGTTCTTCCACCGGTTCTTCCTCCCCAAACATGCAAAACGGGGGTGTTGATAGCGGTCATCCTGATGCAGAAATCTCTCACTTTAACCTGGGTTTTTGCAACGTGGACTGTGAGGAGGAGGAGGAGGAGGAGAAGGTAGTTGCTTATGGTGGTTTTTTGCACCACACATGTGATTTGCAGGATGAAAACACTACTAATATTTGTATTGAACTGGTGGCAGAGCAGGAAAACAGTGCAGGTTTGGGAGTTAGCAGCCAAAGTGAATGCACCGGGACATTAGGCTCTCTTTCCACAGGGGAGGATGCACCATCTGGGGCAGAACTTCCTCCATCTTCCCCCTCTTTACTCCTGGAAGAGAGTGCACCATCTGAGGCAGAACTTCCTCCACCTTCCCCCTTTTTACCCCTGGAAGAGAGTGCACCATCTGAGGCAGAACTTCCTCCATCTTCCCCCTCTTTATCACAGGAGGATTTCAGTGAGCTCAGTTTACCCGTCAGGCCGCAGAGTTTGAGGACTAACCCCAACATGGTGGTTTCCCTCAGCTGTGATGCAACACCTTTATCTCCAGATGATGAAGATGAGGATGAAGGGGGGTTTTATTTTGGAGACGAGGAGGACATCCGGAGTGTTTTGGACTCGGGTCGCAGGCAGAGCGCCCCGGATAATCTGCCGAATCTGGCCGAGCAGACGGAGATCTCGGAATCCAGGCTGATGCCAAAGAGGTTCGGCATAGCTGAGTTCTTCACCAGGTAAATCAAAGTGTCTGAATCACACACAAACACAAATGTTAGGTAAAAAAAAGTGATGACAGCAAGCAAACCTGACCTCATTTACTCATATTCATTTTAAGATTTGAAAATATTCTGCTCATTTCAGGTGTTTATCTATATAGTAGTGTCTCTACTTTAAAGAGTCCTCTCCTGCTGATGTTCAGGTGTATATCAGTATGTAGTGTCTCTACTTTAAAGAGTCCTCTTCTGCTGATGTTCAGGTGTATATCAGTATGTAGTGTCTCTACTTTAAAGAGTCCTCTCCTGCTGATGTTCAGGTGTATATCAGTATGTAGTGTCTCTACTTTAAAGAGTCCTCTCCTGCTGATGGTCAGGTGTATATCAGTATGTAGTGTCTCTACTTTAAAGAGTCCTCTCCTGCTGATGTTCAGGTGTATATCAGTATGTAGTGTCTCTACTTTAAAGAGTCCTCTCCTGCTGATGTTCAGGTGTATATCAGTATGTAGTGTCTCTACTTTAAAGAGTCCTCTCCTGCTGATGTTCAGGTGTATATCAGTACGTAGTGTCTCTACTTTAAAGAGTCCTCTCCTGCTGATGTTCAGGTGAATATCAGTATGTAGTGTCTCTACTTTAAAGAGTCCTCTCCTGCTGATGTTCAGGTGTATATCAGTGTGTAGTGTCTCTACTTTAAAGAGTCCTCTCCTGCTGATGTTCAGGTGTATATCAGTATGTAGTGTCTCTACTTTAAAGAGTCCTCTCCTGCTGATGTTCAGGTGTATATCAGTATGTAGTGTCTCTACTTTAAAGAGTCCTCTCCTGCTGATGTTCAGGTGAATATCAGTATGTAGTGTCTCTACTTTAAAGAGTCCTCTCCTGCTGATGTTCAGGTGTATATCAGTATGTAGTGTCTCTACTTTAAAGAGTCCTCTCCTGCTGATGTTCAGGTGTATATCAGTATGTAGTGTCTCTACTTTAAAGAGTCCTCTCCTGCTGATGTTCAGGTGTAAACCAGTATGTAGGGTCTCTACTTTAAAGAGTCCTCTCCTGCTGATGTTCAGGTGTAAATCAGTATGTAGGGTCTCTACTTTAAAGAGTCCTCTCCTGCTGATGTTCAGGTGTATATCAGTATGTAGGGTCTCTACTGGGACATGTCTCCATCACGTACAAAATGTTGGAGCGCTAGCCAATAGGAGCGTGAGTGTTCTATAATGATGTCACTATGTTGCTGAAGTAAACAAAGGAGTCCATTTAGAGAAACAACAAACTATATAATGCACTACAGGACAGGGAACAACACAAACAGAATAATAGGGACTCTTTAATAAAAAGTACTGACTGTTGGTAGACTTCAACATTCTGCAAAATACTGAGAAAGGAAATAAGTCAGTGGAAAGTTTCCCTGTTCTTCTACCAATCCTGATTCTAGAAAAAGCAGAAACACAACTGAAAGGCAGCATTTCCACTTCTTCATAACCCCCCCCCCCCCTTTGACTCTAGGTTCAAGAT